GCATTGATATGCTACCCATATTTTGTATATATGAATTGCTGTTAATCTTCTGAATATCGGCTGCTTTCTAATGAACACATAACTGACGAGTAGAATTTGAACTTTAGGCTACTGTAATAACAATGCTACCACTGGAAGAGCCACAATGGAGAACCCCTTTGCACTGTTTCCTGTTAAATACACTCTGTATCTCCATTGTTTCACTTTAGGCTATTTCAACTAGACTAGACTAATGTTTGTATATAATCTGTATTCTGCTTCAGTGAACAGCCACCCAGCTGGACATCTCAGGAAGTTCACAGACCGGGTGTAAATGTCTCTTCATCAACTCTCCCTAGAAGATAGGGTACTGTACTTTATGCTACCCCTAAGACTTAATAAATAATATGGTGCTTAATACTGTCTTTCTCTTTCAGAGGTGGGAAACCTAGGATTTTGCAGGTGTTTTTGGCTAAATTACAATGGGCCAATAGGTATAGTGTCTTAAAACTTAGGAGATCAGCGTTCAGATCTCCACTTGGCCATGTAACTTGCTGGGTTATCTTGGGAGAGTCTCAGCTCGACCTACTTCACAGTTTGTCGTAAGGATAAAATGATGTTGGGGGAAGAAGCTCTGTATGCTGCCTTCCGTTAATTGGAGGAAAGGTGGGATCTAAATAAAGCCAATGAATAAATCCATCCCTAAACACTGCCTTCGCTGGCTGGGGATGATGGGGGGGAGGGGTAGAGTCCAACAACATCTAGAAGGATTCCATTTCCTCACCCCTGTTGTATTTAATATCTGGGCAAACAAGTTTTGACACATTAGCTGTGCTATTTTTTTCCCCTAAACCTTAAAATAAGACAACTATCTTCTACTAATCTATGCTATACGTCAATTAAATATGGAGGGGGAGGAATGAGCCACCAAAATTTTACATATAAAGCCCTAAACGGTTTAGGACCTCGATACCTGTCAGATCACCTTCTTCCACCTAGTTCTAGCCATGTTACTCATTCTAGCCTGGCTGAAGGGATTAACTCCAAGAGAGATCTGGAAGGAAAAAACTAGAAACTGGGCCTTCTTGGCGGTGGCCCCTTCCTTTTCGAACATCCTTCCCCCTGAGATCCACCTGGCTCCCTCGCTGGGTGTTTTTAAGAATAAACTGAAGAGCTGGCTCTTCAGGCAGGCCTTCCCTCCTGTATACTTAATTTCTTCCCCTTGTTTTTCCATCTTGGATTATGTTTGCTTGTTTCATTTTTTTAAAAATAGATGTTTTTAATGTTATTGTTTTTTGGATTGTAAACTGCCCAGAGTAGATTTATCTAGATGGGTGGTATAAAAGCCAAACAAACAAACAAACAAACAAACAAACAAACAAACAAACAAACATGTTAGAATAAGCATAAAGGACCATTTTGTACATTGCAGAGCCATTCTGTAAGTCAGAGGCCATGTGTGTGCATGTGTGGATTGGCTCACTGCGTCCTAGCAATATGATGGATTTTTGTGATGTACAGAATGTATATTACAGATTTCTTGCCTTTTAGTTTGTCTAAGGAAAAAGTCTCAAAAATTTGTCAGGATGGCCTGCATACTGCTCGTTCTAAGAAAGAACTAAATGTCATGAAAGAACTAGACTTCTGATATGTAATGCAAATGTTGAGGTCCATCTTCCTCATCACTGTATAAATGTCTGTTTACAGAGGCTACACTCCGGGCATTTGAAACTGTCTGCAGTCCACAATAACTTGTGCCAAATAAAATTGTCAGTCTTAAAGGTGCCACATGACTCATTGGTGTTTTTGCTGTGACAGACTAACATGGCTACAAGGTTGAAAACATTAATTTGGGGAGGAACCACCCTATCCCATGCAGTGAAATGTCATGGCTAGCCCTGTTATGTTGGCAAGGAACAGAAGAACACTAACGTATTTGTACTGGGTTGTACAATGAATGCGGAGTGCTTTGAACACCAGAATGGTACAATTGCTAAGTATTAATATAATAATTGGTGCCAGATGGAATGATTTCAAATAGCTTCCATGTGGTTACTGTAATGTGTAGATGGGGCCTAAAGGCTTTGATTAAGCAGGCAAAATAAATGCACCACACATTACATAACAGTGACATGAGAGGTTGGGCTAGAAGCCAAATTCTTATCAAACCCGTTTACTCGGGGCTATTAGTATTCCATATAGAGTCGGTATGGATTCCTCAGCTTCTTAAGAATCTCAGTCTCTGTGTTGCTACAGAAGCATTTCATTCCTTTCCCTCCCTCCATTAAACTGCTGCCTTCTTTCTCTTTATCACAGTTGTATAGGTATATTTGCCACTGACCACAATAGGATGCCAACCTAGCAGTTCAAAAGGATGCAAATGCAAGTACTGTAGATCAATAGGGACCACCTCGGTGGGAAGGTAACAGCATTCCATGTCTAAGTTGCACTGGCCATATGATCACGGAAGACTGTCTTTGGACAAAACGCTGGCTCTATGGCTTGGAAACGGGGATGAGCACCGCCCCCTAGAGTCGAACACGACTGGACAAAAATTGTCAAGGGGAACCTTTACCTTTACCTTTACAATAGGATGTGGATTTCACTCCAAAGTCTAAAAAAGCATGTATTGAGGGACGCATTCACACTGAGCTTGGCAGGACCATGAGTCACACCTTGCGTTTCTAGCAAGTGCCCTTCCTTACCCTTTTGCTTTTGCTTACGCTTTTGCTTTACCCATGGCACTCATTTGCATGATTCCAGATTGTACTGTATTACATCAGCATGGACCGGAACATATATTAGAAAATATACTGGTTTCTATTATGTTACATTTTTGTGGTGCAAGGGTCCGATGTAAAATTATGTTAATAAAATAGGCCTTTCCTCTTACCCCTCCCAAAGGCTCTCCCACCCTTCTTTCTACTCCAGGGAAAACCAAGGGGGGAGGCACATAAGAAGCCTGCAGGGAAGAATGGGGCAATCTTTTTTTTTTTTTATGGTGAATAGATACTGCTCAATACACACCCAATATCAGATTTGGGGTAGAAGTGCCATGAATGAATGGTTTCAAAAATGCTTCCTCACGCCCTTTAACAAGTTGAGGGGGGGGAGTTGCCTTCATTTCAGCCATTTTAGTCATTCCAGATGTTTGAGGAAAAACCTTCCTGTGCCCCTTTATAGCTTGAAATAAACTGTGGGAATTTCCTACTGAGGCAAAAGAATAATATGTTTTTAAAGGCTCCCTGTTAAGCTCCTCAGAATTTTATTGCTAGGGTATCCGGAACAGCTGGGAGTCATTACTTTTTCTGGACTACAACTCCCAGAAGCCACTAGCTAGCAAATTCTGGGAGTTGTGGCTCCCCCAAAAGTAAGATTCCTCAGCCCTAAGATTCAGAGGCTTTTGTCTAGAGGGCAGGCTAATGGGAGAGGCCCGGGTGTCTTCAACATTATTGTCAAAAATAAATGGATTTGCAGCCGCCACCCCTCCCCCCCTTGCACGCCCTGCGCCGGCAAAATCCCATCCTCAGTCAGTCAGTCAGTCAGTCGGCGGCAACCGAGGCGCACGGGCAGCGTTTCGACCGGTTTCACCAAGGCGGCACTTGCGGCGGGTGACTCGGCGACGCCAGGCGTGCTGTGTAGCCCCAGATCCCCCCGTTCCCCTCCTTCCGCTTGCAAAACCGTCAGACGTTTGGGGGGAAAAATGGGGAGAAAGATATTGGCTGCCAGCAACTCGGAGGCTCCTCCCCGAGCCCGGATCCCGAGATTTTTGGACGATTTCTTTTAACTCAGTTACGAACCTTTGGCGAAAGGAACAAGTTACCTCCCCTGCAAGGAGCGCAGGCAGAAATCGCTGCTTCAAGGAACACCCAGCTCTCCGCCCCTCTCAGATCTCGACCTCAGAGGCGATTGCTTTTTTTTTTTTTTTTGGAATTGCGGGGAGAAATTGGCATCGCCGGCTTGGGAGGGGGAAAAATGCGGATCCCTCGGGATTCTGCACAAACGAAAGAGTGGAAGTAAATGAAACAGAAGACAATGAGGACAAACGTGAACGGAGGAAGAAGCCCTCTTCTGTGACCCCTCCCCTCTTTTTTTTGGGTTTTCTTGAACCTTGGCGGTGTTTCTCTGGGCTCCAGGATTTTCATTTTTGGGGGGGCGGAGGGGAAAGAACACCCCCCCCTGCTCACACACATAACCTTATTGGATCTGACAATCCGCCCCCCACCCCCACCCCCTTGGATACAAATTCGGAGGAAATTCTAGCGTGTGCAGCGCAATCATCATGCATTCAGTGGCTGGGAATAAGGAGAGAATCGCAGTTAGCACCCGCAACAGGAAATACGGGGTAAGTTGTCCTCAAGTCCGGAGAGAGGAAGGATGTTGCAAACCTGCCGGTGCTTTGATCCGAAAGGGCTGCTGCATTCTCGCCGAGGCAAAGCGGGCAGGTAGAAGCAAACCCTCCGCCGCCTTCTTTTGCCTTGTTCAGCTGCATGTTTCCCACCTAGCTGCCCCGTGTGGCTATTTTCACCAGGTCACTTCAATCACCAGGCGTACGAACCCGTTCAAACAAACACCCGCGAAAGATCTTGTTCCTTTCCCCACGACAACCACCCGCTCGCCGCGCCTCTGGAGCAGTCTTTTAACTTTTGCCAACCGCAGGTTCCTGAGGATGAGTGTGTGTGTGTGTGGGGGCATTTTTCCAAATATGCTGGGTTGTCTCCCCACCCCACCCCACCCCACCCCATGCATGCCACAGTCTTGACTTGAGCAAAGGGCCTTTGCGTGCATAGGGTTGGGTCAAGAAAACAGGGCGAGCTCGACCTTCACCCTCATCTCGGCTGCCCGGCGAACCTCCATCGCGCCTTCCCTTAGGCTGGGGAGATCGCCCTCGCCGGGGACGGGGGCGGGGGGGGCACAGGTTTCTTCCTGCCTCGATTTCTTTTAGCTGGAAGATGAGGCAAGGCGAGAGAGGGGTGGGGTGGTTGGAGTGTGTCGCCCGCCCGGGGCTATTGTTACTGTTAATGGCCACGCGTCGCTGCGGAACTCGCCTCGATCCGTCCCTTAAACTTTGCCCGGCTCCTTCCCGCGCACTGACCGGCTCCCTCTCCTTCTCCGCCCAGGTGAACGACCCCTGTTCCCCCACCAAACCCGCGGCTCCTTTCTCGCCGGAAAGCTGGTACAGGAAAGCTTACGAGGAATCCCGGGCCGGCCACCGCCCCGCCCCCGAAGGCGCCGGCTCCGCTCTGGGCTCCTCCGGCACCCCTTCCCCTGGATCGGGAACCTCGTCGCCCGGTTCTTTCACCGGCTCGCCCGGCCCCGCTTCCCCGGGGATCGGCACCAGCTCGCCCGGCTCGCTAGGGGGCTCGCCGGGCTTCGGCACCGGCTCGCCCGGCTCCGGCAGCGGTGGAGGCTCCTCGCCGGGCTCCGACCGAGGCGTCTGGTGCGAGAACTGCAACGCCCGCTTGGTGGAGCTGAAGAGACAGGCGTTGAAGCTGCTCATGCCGGGGCCCTACGGCGGCGGCGGCGGCAGCAGCAATAAGGTGAGTCAGGAGAACGGGGCGGGTGTTCCCTCCAACCCATGACAGACAGGTAACTAGGCGACCCGTCCCGTCGTCTGGGCAAACATCCCCCGAACAAAGCGAGGAGACGCGCCCTTCTTGCTTCCCGCCTGGTTGGTTGGTTGACTTATATGTATTCTGCCTTCCTCCTTGAAGAGGACCCAAGGCGGCTTACAACAATGAAAGAAAGATAATATTTAAAGTTGAAAACAATGAGTACACAACGGTGGTTAACATCATTAAATGACGATATTTAAAATTATAATGAATAAAGAAGCATCTTACATCATTCATAAGCAATATTAAGGCAAAGATCAATAAGTATATATATATTTAAAAATGTCACTCTGAGAAATGGAAAACACAGAAATGGAAAACACAAGTAGTCCTGAAAACCCAGTCAAAGCAGTAATGCATTACAATCTATCTAAAAGTCACATACAGGTAGCAGGTTACTGAGGGAAGGAAGGCTTGCCTAAAGAGAAGCGTCTTTGGCCGGCTGAGCTGGATAGCTAAAGGAACACCTCCGAGTTGTACATTTAGAGTATATGTATTTTTAAAGAGATTCTGCGTTTAAGTGATGGTATTATTCCCTCCTCCAGGCCATGTGCATTGCTTCAGTCAGGAAGCACCTAGCTAATATTTCTCCCCTCTGCTGTTGTTTCTTTGCTGGTGTATAGTGGTATTTCTAATTTGTCCTCATGGGGGTGGGTGGGGGAAAGAAACACTTTGAGCATGTGCAGGTTTGTATCTGTAAGCCCACTTACATGGTAGTGCCTCCAGGAATTGCTGCCCTAAAAGTGAGCAGCTGCAAAAAAGCACCATTTTGTGTCCAGGAAAAGGATAATATACTTGTGTCCAGAAAAGGATAATATATTTGGACGGTAAAACAAATGAATAAGCACTTCCACCCATGAGCATGCCTGGCCCTCTGCCCCCTGACTAACACGGATTTTTGAAAGCAAGCCGTCTTGGTCTTGCTAAAAGCGCTGGCACAGGAACCAGTGCCTTGGCCAGTTTCCTGGTGGTCCCATTACCTGCTGTTCCCTTTCTGATCCTTTGTAGGCCCTCTGAATAGTCATTTGGAGTTGCCCTGGGTACCAAACATTGCCCCCAAGTCCACTCCTACGTGCAGAACATGAAGCAAAGAAGTAGAGAGGAGTCTGTGTCCACAAACATTCAAGCTGTGGTCTATTCCATGCACATGTTTCAAGCCTGTACATGTTTGTTATTATGCACTGTCAAGTTGATTCTGATGTATGGCGAATCTCCCAGGGTTTTCTCTGTATAATATGCTTGGAAGTGGTTTACCAGTGCCTTGTTCTGTTGGCAATGTGGGACTCTGCAGCTTGTCTAAGGCTAAACAGGTAATGGGACACCTCATTTCATCCGCCATACTGTATATCCTCCAGAATAGATGATCTTGGCTGGTCTCTGTTAGGAAACAAGAGTCACTGCCTGAATCCCAGGCTTAGCATCCAGGTGCACCAACCCATCCAACATGTATGCATGTTTGTTCAGATCCCACTTTTGTTGGTGGGACTTGTTTTGCAAGGTAAGTGGGCCTAGAACTGCACTCTTTTTGTTGATATTGGTCACATAGATCTCAGGGACCTGGACTGCCGTGTAAAGACTTGCTTTAGCTCTTACATTGAATGGTGCAGTCTATTGGCTAAAGAAGTCAGTTTGATATGATGGGAATCAGCCCTGTTATGGTCTTGGGCAAGTTGCGAACTTGTGGCCAAATGTTTCTAAACCCACCCACCCCCCTGCGTATAGTTCCTACTGTTTTTAGTTGGTGCATGGTGACCTCTGGCCATAGGTGCTGCACATTGACACTGTCAGGTGGAGAGTTGTCCTCAGGCATTACAAAGGTTTCTGGGATGTGCAGCGTATGACTGTACTTCAAGCTAATGTTCTGAGTAATTGTGATTGAGTGAATGAGGTGTTTGAATTGCTTGCTATTAGCCTTTTAGCAGACTGGCTAGAGCAACAGTAATGATGGAAACAAGCATTTGGGCCTAGGGCTCTATCAAGAATGTGTATGTCACATACACTTTTGTATGTGGGATCTTCCTGTATGGCTCTTAATCTGTTTAAGTTTGCACCTTTAGTCATTAGTGGTACAGCTAAAACACAGGCTTAGCTGATAGTTAAGCTACTGGATCTTAGCAGTAGAAGCTTGTGGTGTAAGGTGGGAGAACCCCACCCCAAAATGTATGGGTGAAGCTTGCCATTGTTGAGACTACAGGCCGACTATGGGTTTGCAACAAGATTTTGTGCATCATGATCAAGATCATGGGTAGGAATTAACGTGATCAGCTTTCACAGCAGGTCATAAATGTAAGGACAATGAAGGTGGCTGGATAGTTTGTAAGTGTAAAATATATATAAAGGAGCTATTTATTTGATGGTGTTTTTTTTAAAAAAGTTAGCCTGGTTTGAACACTTCATTAGGAGGCTGGAGCTTATTTTCATCTACACTCCAGTGTTGAATGCATGTAGTGCATTCGTCAGAATTAAGTCTCCCCAAGTTCAATAGGATTTGATCCCAGGTGAGGGTACTTAACAATCACAACCTTATTTTTTTTCCTGTTTCACACATAAGTTAGGCATTTGAATTCATGTTGCTCTCCACCATACTAGCCATTAGGGGTAACAATAACTCAGTTGTGAATTTTGTCAGAGTTTTAGCCTTTAAGATGACCTTTAAATTGCCTTAATTAATTTTGTATTTCCATGCCTTCACTAACCTAAATCAAACACTACTCTCTCAGTTGCTCCTTATTACTGTTGCTCTGCTCTAATTTTACTTCTCCTGTGCGTGGTTTCATCTTTTGTTGCATTTCATCTTCCAGCTCAAGTGCAGTGTGCACCTATGGCTGGTTTCCAAAGATGAACCTGCTGGCGGGCACATTAAGGCTCCACAGTAATGTGGCACAGATCATCAGAGCTACCAATATGCTCAATTATTCAGAAAGGACTGGCTTGTTAAAACAAGAAGTTACCCCAGAGGTTGCTGGGAGTTTCCAATGAGCACTGGGACAACTTCCCTTTCTAACAGGAAGCCGAGGCTAGGGCATGAAGCCTTCCGGCCCAGGCTTTCTCTGGATGAGCACAGTTGAAGTATGAGTCTGATAGGCAGAATTCAGAAAATGGCAAATTCTGGGTTGTGAAGCCCAGAACCAAAAACAGCACATGCCTATTAATGGGTCAGGAGAAAACTCTGCCTGCTTCTGTCATGTTTGTGATACAGTAGCAGTAACTACATCTACTGAGAGCCAACATAAGGTGTGCTTACAGTACCAGACTAAATTCAGATTCCCCATTCAATCATGAAACTCAGTGGGTAACCACAAAACAGATAATATTTGTTAGCCTGGCCTATCTTGTAGGATTGTTGTGACAATAAAAGTAGGAGGAGAAAACAAAGTCATGTCCATTAACCTGAGTCTTGTGGAGGAAAGGTGAGATATTGAATAAATAAATTAATAGATAAATCACTGCTTCTGAGAGAAGGCTCCGTCAAGGGCTCTTTTGCTGATGAAGTGTTAAAGGTATTGTGTGAGTGTGGCTCTTCTCCATAGTAACCATGTGAATGTTGTTGCGCTTGTGCATGAGATACCATGCCACTTCATTTGCACTGTCAAACCCAAGAGTTATCAAATGGTAATATTTACTCTTCCACTTCAAAGAGTTTTCTTTGGTGGTTTGGATCAAGGGGCATCAAGTGAAAACAGTGTGTGCTGTTGAAGGGTCTCTAGCACTTGTTTGTTGAATTGCATCTGTCACTGTTTATTTATGGTGCTCTTTGAAATAAAACCAGGGACGTTCCTAAATTTCTGCTGAAGTACCTTCGACTACGGAGCAGGTTTGATTACCGGTATATGAATTATTCATTGCCAAAAGCTGCTCTTTCAGAGTGTGTCAAAGTGAAGTGACACTGAATCCTAAAGAAGTAGTCCTTTGAGCTCAAGAAATAGTTGTAATGTTGGTTTGGTTCTCTAACAGAACCAAACCAGCGACTGTTGGGAAACCTTCTAAGTTGGTGAAAATACTGAAGACAAAAAGTTGTGCTGCAACACAAATTCATAGATTCAGGATAAAATGTAGAAGGAAAAATGAAATGGAGCAATAAATTGAAAACTGTCTGATGGGCAAGAACTAGTAAATAACTTGCATAGCAAATGTCTGGAAAGAGTCGTGTGGAAAAGAACTGCAGTGGAGATCACTTAGGACTTCTACATGTAGAACCGCTAATTATTGGAAATGGTCTTGATCATCAGTGCTTGCAATTTATTGGTGGGGACAATTCAGTATATTTGTCAGCTGTTATGGATAATAAAGTCAGTGGGAAATATTGTTCAAAGACAAGGACAAAAGGGTAAGGTAGGAGTCTGAGTGGGATTCTTGATTTGTCACTCCTGTAACAGGGTCTGAAGGTGGTGAGTACCGTCTTGGCTTTTTTGGAGAAGACAAGCGATGAGTCCTTGTCAGAGTAAAAGTAGACTTAACATATTTTTTAAAAAGAGGTGTGTTGCTCATGAATGGTAAGCCTCAGTTTCCCATTCTTGCTCATAGCCAGTATGATAGGTTGCTTCTAGGTCAGCCAGTAAGACCACCTTGCTTCCCTGTAGGTGTTAAATTGTGTGACATGGGGGCTGTAGGTTTACCTACTGCTTGTTACAGGTTTGCCAGAACTAGTACTTTGGGTCAGCATGAGTCACTACAGCTGCCACAGTGGGTGCGGAGAAGACCATGAGGACTATATGTTAAACAATTTTCAAACGGCTGACTTCCTGAAACAGGCAAAATCATGGTCCACCACCAGCAGTGTGTATTAGACTTTCCAGAAATAGCTTCTTCAGTTATGTAGTTTCACATATTAACAGGATAAAAGAATGGGTCTTTATTTTTGCTTCCCTTTCTAGCTTCATTCTCCCTTTCACTAAAGCTACTGAAACTGCCTACTTAATTCCCTA